ATAGGCGTGACTACGTCCGTTAATTTTTACAGTCTATGGGAGAGACCTGCGGGACCGCCTCGGACTATGCTCGGACTATCTATGCTCGGACTATCTATGCTCGGACTATCTATGCTCGGACTATCTATGCTCGGCCCACATTCGCACGCGAAACTAGCGGTAATCTTTCAGGTATATATTTTGTTAGCAGTGCGTTGCTTTTGTACCACTTCATCAGTGATTGTTGTACAGCTTACGAGAAGTTGCGCTAATGCTATTGTTAGCATATGTGTCAGATTGCAAATAAAACTAGATGAATAATATATACCTCCACCATGTTTTTGAATTGTTGTCATAAGCTTAGAAATGGACTTATAAATGTTCGTTAAAGCTGGAGGACTCTGCGTGTCAATGCGCCATCTTGAAATACAGTGGTTGATAAGGGACAAAAAGGAGTTTGAGCGGGAGTTGTCCTGAGAAGCTAACGTTGTACCGTAGATTACAATATACGATCTCAATGCTAGATGGAAGGAAAAACACAGCGTAACTTTAAGGACAGAATTCCCGTCTCTCTTTCTCCCACTTTGAGGGAGATGATTGCTGTCGTGACCAAAACTTAATCCTGCAGGTTGATTAAGGACACCCCTCCAGCGTCGTAAGAAAAAAAAGACAGACCAAAGAGAGTTCCTCCAGGCGGCGTGGCATTTTATAATACCATTCATTTCTGGCGTTTGTTCTCATGTGATTATCAGCTGTAGTTTTGACAGGCAAATCTCCGGGGAATAATTCAAAAAAAGCAGGTTGTTCCCCTTTCTGTGAACTCGGTCTCTTAAAAAGAAAGCTTTGATAAACACGGCGGCGCTCTAAACACACAAGATTTTCCTATACACGTCTCTCCAGCGTGGATTTTTCTCGTTTTTGAGCTGCCAGATGGAGTTAGCGCAGAGGAGATGTTTTGGAAAGATCCCAGGTGAAATGGAGGAGTGAGCCGTCGCTGAGTGGGTTAATAATTGTGGAAGCAGGTCAGTGGTCCGGCTTAACTCACGGCGGGTCTGAAGAAACACGGAATTTGACGAAAGCCAAGGAGACGGTGTACTTTGTAACGTTTAAGTTTAATGGTGAGACAAACAAGCCAAAGAACCCAAAAGGATTTAAAAACTGGGAAAGAAGAAATGACATAATACGTTTTTCACCCTAGCCTGAACTTAAAGAGTACTAAGAATCTTTTCATAATCACTGCTTCAGAACAGTATTTTTATTCAGGAAAGAGAAGTCGAGACACCGCCCTTGAACTTTTACTCAGCTCTCAGACCAAAGCTCCAAATAATGACTGTAGTGGCTCTTACAAGTTGACAATACTATTATAGAAAAACTGTTTGTGTGTGTGTGTGTTTACGATGCACTTTGTGGAAGGAAAAACAGTATTTTCTAATCTCCAAGAAAGAATAAAGTTGGGTATCCCTCTTTAAAAGCGTGGGTACCTACGTTCAAAGCACAATCATGGAACTGTGTGATAAAAGTAGTTCCACATGATTTAGATCACTCTTGGTTTGACACGCATCTACTTCTTTAGATCAGCTTTTTCAGACAGAACATGTGAAAAGAGAGGACCACCCTCACTCAGCCAATCAGCTCTCAGCTCACAGGAGTCCTTTCTTACAAATTGGCTTTTACAAAACTTTTTCTGTTTGAACAAACAACATGTCTGGAAACTAAGAAGTCAAATTTAAGTCATTTGCAAATATCACATTATCTATAGGTATACATCCATGTTATTATTCACTGATACAATTTAAAATGTTTTTATCTTCATTCTAAATAAGACTGAATTGTTTTGTAGATTCTGCAGCCAACAAAAACAGGAAAACAATCTGCTTTCATAGAAACGTGTGTGGGATTCCCCTCTCCAGTTAAAGTGGACAAGTCCATCTCCAGATCACTCAATATATTGACTGACAGCTCCTTTAAAAAGCTCTGTCGATCACGACCGTCGATCGGACTCTGGCGGAGTAATGGGACTGCTCTCTGGACACTTATTTGTCTCACAATCCTGATTTGAACAAAGCAACGATCCACTGGAAAAATACTAAGATCGTGAATCACATTATTATTGAGTTGAGAAAATGAAACCGTGGGTGGTTCTGTAATCGTGGCCGATGCTCTGTTTGTACCTCGTACAGTTATGTTTAGAAAACAATTTAATCTTTTACTTTGGGTCACTGTCCGCCACCGAGGTTTTCTTCAAACGTTCATGTTTTACCAAACCATAACTGAGAGAGGGTGGTCCTCTCTTTTAACCAAGACCTAAAATAGAAACATGTGAAAAGCAGTGAGAGGAACAAGGAACATGGATTTGATTACATGTTGTAATGTTTTTTACGCTTTAACGTAAATACCCTGAAATCATAATTTAATGATTATATACAGTATATACACTTATAAAACATCCACATAACGTTTACTGAATGATGAATAGTTTAGTGAATCCCCTTTTTATAATTGTTTATACTGTTTTAAGCCTTTGTCTTCTGTTGCTCATATACAGTATTAATTGTCTTTGCCTCCAAAAAACAGACAGCGGTGTATAAAAAACCCCAGCAGTGAATAAAAGGTCTTTCCAACACTGAGAGCCGTGCAGTACAGGACATTCCTCTCAGGATTGTTGGGATTATACATACAGTATTTAAAGGTGAATTCCATTTTTGAACTTGCCTTGTCGTTTTCCAGTCTAGCCAGAGCCTTCCATCGTCATCTAAATGCACAGAATCACACACTGCTCCCATCCGGAGGTGAAGGGGTTAAAAGCCTCCTCTGCAATAAAGAGGGCCCGGCTTATCCCTCGCTCTATTTTTAGCGCTCACACAAGATATGCGCACGTGCACGCATGGCGAACAAACAGTCATTACTTTTGGCCACCCGTGTTGATCTGCTCTTCACGACACAGCGGTCCGTGCCCAGGACTAGTGCACGTATGACACTGACTCTGTCTCTATTGTGGGAAGACCGGTTGTGATGCAAGAAGTCATTTTAAAAGCTTATTGTCACTCGCCGGCCACTTGCACCGACACGCTTCGGCCCCGTACAAAGCCCCAAATTACGAAATCGAAATGGATTGCGAAATACGGCTATAAATGTCACAAAGTGCTGCGCCCAGTTTAGCTCGAGATTTTAATAGATGTTTGAGTGTGAGAAGTAAAACATGGGGATTACAACATGGATCATACTTGGTCATTTAAGACTTTTATTCACTTTGTCTCATCAAACACCGTCCTTTAAAGGAGACGTGTGGGATAAATATGTGTTTCTTTATGTCTAACATGTTGAGCTTTTTTCACAACATTGTTACCGAATAAAATAAACAGACCTGGAGTTGTTTTTAGATCAGTCTATGATCAGAAACAAAGCATGTAAAAGCTCTTGTCTCAGTCCTGTAATAGTACGATGTCATTGTACCACTTTGACATCACACTCAGAGGTTTTCAGCCTTTTAAAACAAAAGTATTGATCCTAAATTAGTTTTGGTATCATTTCAGTTGATTCAATGATATTCAATGACAAAACAAGTTCTACCCCTCCCTCTAGTGGCAGCATAGGGAGTTGGAGGCAGAAAACTTAATTTACACTCTTCAACGTATATTTTTGTATTTCATATTGTCCATCCATCCATTTTCTTCCCCTTAATCCATTTCTGGGTCAAGGGGCGGGGGTGACAGTCAGAGCTGCACCCAGTACACACAGCACCAGCCCCTCACTGATCCTCCTGCAGGTGCTGAGTCCACAGTAGGTCTTTCAGTGGAGGGCTTCAGGCAAAGTGGGGTTAAGTGTCTTGCCCCAGGACATAACAACAGCAGACATCAGTGGGAGTAGTAAAGTAGGTCTTACGGTGGGCTCGAACCCACAACCTCCAAGCTCAAAGGCCAATGCTCTACCAACTGAGCCACTGTCGCCCCTCTTTCATATTGTATATATTATTAATACGTTCCAAAACATGATATAACGAAGTAATAGTTTAATTCCCATTTAAAAGACCAAAAATATTGTATCATATTTATTCTTTAAGTACATGAATAAGAAGGCAAACAAGTTAAGTTTTCCCTCCAATGAGCAGTAGTGATTCTATCTATTGTGCGTGTTTCTCATGGTAGGGGAAACTGGAGCACCTGGAGGAAACCTTTACAGACACCATGCAAACTCCACTTAGAAAGGCCGGGATTCGAACCCAGGACTGACCGCTCGCCACTCAGCCTCCCAGTGCTTCGGATTACATTTGATAAAGTTTTCACCGCAATCATTTTTAATATCCTTACTCTCATCGATCAATTTACCTGATTCAACTTGACATTTTAGGTCAGGGGTATCTCCGGATAGCTCGCCAAAGGATTGAGAATGGAACAAATTGAATAATATACAGAACATTTCAGAACAAGTAATGAATACGGCCTAGTAAATAATACTGAGGACGATTTTCGCTTCTCCTCGTGTCTGCGTAGGTTTCCTCCGGGTGCTCCAGGTTTCCCCTACCTCTAAAAATATGTACAATAATTAAGGGTGAATACATGTGGTTGTGAGTGCAACTGTGGGACGATGGCTGGAGTGATATGTTCATTCACATTTACTCATTTTCCCAGGACAGCTTAACGTTTAATATTCACTCTTTTTGATGTTCTAAGATGTAGGATTGTAGGCGCTGACACAAATAACTTGCTTTTAGGTTAGGATTAGGGTTTGTTTTTTTCTTTATAGGCCTTTACCAAACGGTTGAGATACAGATTAATGGTATAAAAAGTACCTAAAACCGAGTGAGAGAGATGCCCCAATGAGGTGTAGATCTCAGTTCCAAGCTTCAAGTCGATACAGTGACTCAAAAAGTGGTCCACCCAATGATTGAGGAGACTATTAAAGGGCTAAAGGTGCTGCTCTGTGCCTTTCTGGTCTCTGGAACGTAGCTCTCTGGGTGAAAAAGGTTCAAAGTCACCCGTTTTTTTTAGACAAAGTTCTCGCCCGGACTGTCAGTTGGTCACTTCCCTCCGCCCTATGTGCCCGTAACTTGGCTGGACATGACAACCAATGTGTCCCACAGCAACCCCCCCCCCCCCCCCCCCCCCCCCCCTAAAATCCCCCCCCTCTTCCACCTCCTCCTCTTCCATCCTCAAACACCAGCTACTCCCCATTAAGGTTTTTTTTTTTTTTTTTTTTAATTTTCTTCTCTCATCTCCATTCCATTTATCATTAAAAAAAGTGTATTTTTTATTTTATTTATTCCATAAATTGGCATATTGTATATTTTTGACCAATATATCAATAATCGTTATATCGTGATAATATAGTTATTGTGAGCTTTGTATCGTGTATCGTATCGTGAGGTACCCTTAGGTTCCCACCCCTACTCCCCATTCCCACCGAAAGCCATAACCGAGCCTTTATGTCGAGCCTTTATGTCGAGCCTTTATGTCGAGCCATACATGGATTCTGGCTGCGATTTTAATTGGTATTAGTACAAAGACGATGGAAAGGGAACATGAGCTAATGAAAGTGACGGGACAGAGCTTTTGTCTCTGGGTATGTTTTTTTGTCTGATCCCGCATGGAGAAACGGGATACAATGTGTTCTGCCAAAGAACTGTCATTGGCAATTACGGTTTACACTGCTTTTTCTCAAGCCTATACGCATGGCTTTTGACACACACCATTCATGTTGTTTGTTTCCACGTGGACGGACGCAACTTGAAAATTGGTCATGTCATGTCATGATGTAATTTTCTACCCCTTTATTATTCCATTTCTGGGTCAGGGGGGGACAATTAGAGCTGCCACCAAAGTCTCAATGCACCAGTCCCTCCTGATGATCGTCCTGCAGGTGGTGAGTCCACGGGATGATGGCTTCTCCATGATTGAAGATATGGCCTTGGTCTTTCAGCGGGGGCTTCAGGCAATGTGGGATTAAGTGTCTTGCCCAGGGACACAACGACAGCAGACATCAGTGGGAGCAAATGACATGGGTTGTGGTGGATTCGAACCCACGACCCAAGTCCAAAGACCAGTGCTCTACCAACTGAGCTACTGTCGTCCCACTTGGAAATCTTGGAATATTATTATTCTCAAGAAAAGAAAACAAATTAGAAATGTTCAACCTGTCCAGACCTGCAACACAGTCTCATGTTACCGTGGGTGTCGTTACCATGGCGTTAGCGCGGTATTATAGTCGGTGTAGCCAACCTCCAGCATGGACATCTTTACCGCTCGCTCTTTACAATGAATTCAAAATAGAAAAGGATTCTGGTGGTAAGCGATGTTGTTTTTGCTCAGCAAGAAGGTCCTGGGTTCGAATCCCGGTCGGAGCAGGGCCTTTCGGTGTGGAATTTGCATGTTCTCCCCGTGTCTGTGTAGGTTTCCTCCGGGTGCTCAGATTTCCCCTACCTCTAAAAACATGTACAATAGGAATCAATGTGATGAGTGAATGGATGGTGTTGGGGGGGCTTTGATGCTCCAGTGTGTTCGGCGTCTCGCTTCCGTCATCACCGGGTGTGAATGGAAAAAATATTTGATTTCTGAACATTGTAAAGCGCCTTTGGTGACCTTGGTCTGTAAAATAGGCCATATATAAAAAATAAAAATAATAAAAAACATTACTTACTTATACGGCTGGGAACTTTGGTCGTTTAGTCGACTAATTGGTCGATGCCGTCGAGGTCGACCAAGATTTTCATTGGTCGACTAGACTTTACTATGCAGGGGCTTTCAATTTCAGCATTAGAAGTTAATTAATTGCAAAACAGTAAAATTACAATGAGTGACATTTGTGCAATTTTAATATCGTAGCCTACTTATTTAGTAAGTAAGTAAGTAGACAGACTTTTCTTCCTATTTAAGTTTCGCTGCTGTCAATTAAGTGTATTACGCAACACCGCATGTGCTCAGTACACGTGCTTGGCAGACAGCACGGCACCGCAGCATCAATCTGAATCTCATCCGCATCAGTAGGCTATTGGCGCAAGTTATTTTGTTTAAAAATGTCTAGAAAGTCCAAGTCTTTCGTTTGGCAACATTATGTTAAAACAGACGACAAAACTGTCGAATGTAATTTATGTAAGCAAAAGTTCACTTACCACAGCTCGACGACAAACATGGCCTACCATTTGAAACAGGTACAGTATGCTAGATTTATTAAAGCTTGTTAAAGGCATCTGTGGACACTTGCGTTTAATGTGAATTATGTAAACTTTATAGGCACATCCCCAAGTCATACAACCACAAGATGCTGCAACAGGCACGCAAACTAAGCTCGACATGGCCTATCCTCTGTCTGCAAAGAAGAAAGGCGAAATAACCAAATCCATTGTAAATTTCATTGCCAAAGATATGAGGCCATTGAATATCGTGGAAGGAGATGGCTTTAGAGAAATGATTAAAACACTGGAGCCAAGGTTCACAATCCCAGCGAGGAAGACATTGAAGGGCGAAATAACCGTGCGTTTTGAGGAAGTAAAAGAGAAAATCCATCAGTCTTTGCAACGTGCCCGAGCAGTTAGTTTTACTACAGATTTGTGGTCATCTCTGCGGATGGAAGCATACATAACGGTGACCGCTCATTACATAAATGCAGATTGGAAGATGCAAAGTATTGTGCTTGAAACAAGGCAAATGGAAGAGGCGCATACGGGGGCGAATATCGCGGCACGACTGACTGACGCGTTTCGCATCCCTGAAGAAATGCGAGTTTCAGTTGTCACTGATAATGCTGCAAATATGGTCCTGTCTGTGGATTATTTAAAGCAATCGGGTCAGTGGCCTGAAGTGCAGCTGGTTCGGTGCGCAGGGCACACATTGCAACTATGCGTAAACAGCGCACTAAAGCAAGACCCCGTGTCTCGCATGGTGGGTGCTGCACGTCGCCTTGTTGGACATTTTAAAAAGGGGAGCAAAGCAAAAACGGGGCTAAAAGAAAAACAGGAGCAGCAAAGAGTCCCTCAGCATGAATTAATACAGGACGTGGCCACTCGGTGGAACTCCACCTGTTACATGCTGGAGCGACTCATTGAGCAGCGCTGGCCAATTACTGCAGTTTTATCAGACCCAAACTTCACAAAGCGGGCAGACAGCAGCACATTGGATTTGACCACAGAGCAGTGGAATATGGCACAAGACGTTACGGCTGTTCTTAAGCCATTCATAACGCTGACAGAGCTGCTGTCACACGAGAACAACGCATCGCTATCAGCAACGATTCCTATGCTTGTTAATCTGAAAAAATGCCACCTCGTCGTCTCACAAGGCGACAGTCCCACAAAACGTAAAATGAAGCTTAAACTTGTGGAGGAAATAGACAGCAGATGGAAGCTATATGAACGACTGGTTATGACAAGCAGCGTTTATATTACAGCTGCTGTACTCGACCCCCGTTTTAAACTGCTCCCATTTCTCGAAGATGAGAAGCGCGATGAAGCTTATGTCACTGTGTCAGACCTGGCTGACAGGATGAGCGCGAGGGAACACGCGCACTGTGCAGGTGAGCCACAAGAGATCGACGGTGATGATGCGCCCGTGTCCAAAAGACAGAGAACAGACAAAGAGAAGAACACTGCGATGTTACTGTGTGGACAAGTTCCAGAAGATGATGATCCTGCTGTACAAAGAGGATCCAGTTCCGACGAAATGAAGGATTACCTTCAAGACCGAAGCAAATGTGACTCTACAGGGCCACTGGTGTGGTGGAAAGAAAACCAGGACAGATACCCCATGCTCGCTCTGGCTGCGAAGCGACTCCTCTGCATACCTGCCACCTCCACGCCCGCGGAACGCATATTTTCCAAAGCGGGATTTATTGTAAATAAAACCAGGAGCTGTCTGCTTCCCAACAATGTGGATATGTTACTTTTCCTTGCCCACAACTCGTCAAAGGTGGATTAAACCCCTAGCGGTGTACGTACACTTTTGGTTACAATTATTAGGTTAATAATTCTGTTGTTTGATTTCATTCAAATCGGAGGTAGGTGAGATGTAATATCTTTATTCAGGCTTTTTTTCGTTTTAGAACTTAATGGCAAAAAAAAATCAACGTTTATTAAAAGAGTCAAATATAGGCCTCGTTTAAGGCTGTATATGGAGCGACGGCAGGCCCGCGCACTCAGTTGTTTTGGAAGAAAGTTGATTATTTATAGCTATAATCCAAATTTTATTTAAATACGTATTTTTCTTTTTTATAGAAGTTATTGAAATATTGCTGTTAATTTCTATACTTTACACGTACTTCACACAAGTCATTGTGTGTGTGTTTTTATTGTATACCTGTAAATGTTTGGATCTTTGCTCGTTAATAAATGCTAAAAATGTTTAAAAAAAATAAACAGTCTTTTGTAATTTTATAATTGAAATATTTTATTTTCTCTTCTTTTTTTTTTTCTTTTTTTTTTGGTCGACTAATCGCTACATGTGCTATAGTCTTGGTCGACCAAGCATTTCCTTGGTTGATTACAGCCCTACTTACTTACAATCTATCTATATACTTTACATGGGTGACCCTTCAAGTGTCTCTGAGAGCTTTGTGCCATGAACTAGAGTAGATTCTCCTAAAGTGGACATGAGGGTGTGCGGCAAAGCTTAGGGGGGAGCTCAAGAGAACGCTGATATAGATCACTAACAAATGTACTTATTGTCTGTCTGCGTATCCCAGCATGCACCAGGAAAGGCCACGGAAACACCCAGAGTCTGCTATACAGTGAAGCCATTATATTACATCTATAGACAGAGAAGAAATCGGCTGGGTTTTTTTCTTTCTTTTTTTAAAGAGGGGCCACTTTTTAATGTCCAATCAATTAAGCCCAGGCCTGAGCAGGTTTTGTGTTTGCAGAAATTGCTTTTGATTGTTCTCTGTTAATCAAGCTGAAGCTACTGCTGATTGACTGCTTTTGGAACTGGACGTACGGTCTCACTCTTTGAATTATGAATGATCTAATTACATACAAGACTGGATCCAACCCATCAAAGTCCTGTTCAACTCATACAGTATAATCCACCTTCTGTTCACCGTAGGAGCTGACGGGTGAAAATAAGCAAAGATATAGAAAAGGTCAGTGAGGGATCTCAGCTGTGCATTCCATATCATCTCCGACTTGTTCTCGGTCACCTCATGACTTAACGGCGAGATTGCGTAGATAACCACTGCCTAACTACAAGTGCTGATGACGCATTCGTAGACAAAGAAAAGTTCCGAGACGGAGTGGAATTGCATTTTACTGCAAAAAGTGATGAAGAATATGTTGAAATTTGCTCAATTCTGTCAAGATGTGTCTTACTTTGGGCACATTGTGACTGCCCTAAGACAAGATTTGTTAAAGGGACAAGCAAAAAAGATACAAAAAATGTCTCCCTTGGAATGAGAAAATAACACAACAGTTTCTTTTTCCCATTGGCAGTTTTTGTTTTAAGACTGTCAGAATGTACTCAAAATAAGTAAAAAAACTTCTTGGTTCCTCAATTATGACCTCATATTTTCAGATTCAGATATATTTCATTTGCCATTTGCAGTAAAACTTCATTGGAATACGTTTGCAAAAGTCCTCAGTGTGCACCAGACCAAACAAGATAAAAAGTTCAGAAATTAAACAAATTAAAAAAGAGAAGGAAACAATTGTCACTGTGAATTCGATCAATTAAAACAATACAAGTTCAATATTATATTTAAGTGCTTTGTTTAAACTGTTAGCCAAAACAGAGGGAAGAAGCTGGAACATGGCTTTTCCAGGGGGCAGAAGAGTCATTGCTTATTCTAAGAGCTCAGTTTAATAGTTTGCATTTATAAAGAACCTCCAGAACAGTCGGCTCACAGCTCACAGTCCTCTTGAAAGAGCGGAGCACCTTATTTTATCTTTTTTTTTGCAGCGCCATTTGTTTAGTTTACCAGCTCAAATGACGGTCAGCTGGTTGCTTCCGCCATTTCACAGGACTTGAACCAGCAGCTTGAGCTTGCATCGGGGGTCGTCCTTCTGGTCCCGCGGGGGGCCGTGACGTCAGTGCTGGTCCCGCCGGGGAGACCAGTTTTGCGACCCGGACGAAAAGGCTCTTGAAGGAGAGAGGGGCGTCGCTTGATTAATCGTATTGTTCCCGTCGCGTTCACCTTGATCGCCGGAGTCACCCTGGGCCGTGCCGCCACAGCGGAAGTGCACTGAATGTAATGAGGCTTTCTTTTTTTTTTGTAAACGCCAACCACGCCACAAACGGACATCTCTCTTGGTGCTTGATAGACAAAGGCTGTTGCTGTCACTGGCAAATCTAGGCAGACCAGGCCAAAACGCAAGTCTGCCTTTCGCTAAAAATCCTGTTCCACTGTGATAGACACATTTTCCAGCTCATCATTCTCCCCGCACTCCTCTCCAGATCATAACATGCATGTATTTCGACGAGCTCTGGCTGCATTAGCTGGAGTTGACTGACTCGGTGCCTGAGGCTAAGCAAGGCTATTTTTAGTCTTGCCGTCTCCTGATGCTAGCCGAGTGGGACTGAGGAGAGAGGAGGATGGAGAGAGTAGGATTAGGAGGGGGCTGCTGTGTAACTAGGCTACGTTGGAGATTGATGGACCCCGTTGCCGTGGTTTAAGGCACCTCTCTTTGCTGCGTCTGTCTGTTAGTACGCACCTGTTTGCTCGCGGCTCAGGTGTCGTCTGCGGTTTTGTTTCGGAAAGAGAATACATTTGGTCTAACTAACCGCTAATATATAGACATCCGTCCCTCTAAATCCCCACACTTAAGGCCAACATGTAAAACAGCTCCCAGCGATTTGTGCAAAAGTGGCGTAGAATTACTCCCAGCCACAGGTGTCGGGCGCTCGCAGACGCACACCGCTCATTTCCATTGCAAAGACCCAGAAGCCTGTGTGTGTGTGTGTGTGTGTCATTTGAATAAAGCTCGTCAACAGATATCAAGTCTCAGCAAAGGGGGTGCGTTTGTTTTTACGGTAGCAGCAGTGTGACCACCTGCCTCCTAAAGATGTTTTACATAAAGTCCCACACAGCTGAAGTTATGGAACATCACAAACTAAGCTCAGGGTTTTTCTAGAGCTCCCTGTGACGTCACACTGTCCTGTTCTGTGGCTTGGACTCGTTCTAATCATCAACAATAAGCAGTTTTTGATAATTGCATTCCTGTTATGCAAGATGATTTCAAGAGAATCTGGCTTCAGAATCAACAGTGTCCTAGACTTTGCTCGACAGCTATAATTTATACTATATTTATTCTAAGCATTATCCTCTGAACTTCTGCACATGAAATATGTGATAGCACTTTTCTTAGCAGCTTGAATCTAGAATCTGTCACACTACACGGAGCAGTTGGATACTTTGTACGCATGAAGCAATTATGGTTTAAATCACTACCTTTTTTCAGTCTGGATAAACATCTGACAAAACAAAACGAATGACAATTTGCAAAGCGCCTGTCGGTTAGAGGCTTTATGTAAATAAAAGCCAGTATGTTGAGATTTGTTTGAACAGGACCAAGCGTGATGGTGTTGTGTGTCCACACCCAAGTCCTGGCAAGGGATGGGTGCTGGGGCGGTGTAGCTGCTTGTGAAGGTGGTGCGAGACAGTCGTGCACATCACATGCACTACATGCACGTGCACTGTGATCGGCCGGTGCATCCTCAGCTCTGCGCCTAATTAGAAGTGTGTGTGTGTGTGTGTGTGTGTGTGTGTGTGTGTGTGTTTGTGCCGTGCGGTCCAGGGAGGATTCCAGAAATAGACCAGGCGTGCTTATATTCTTCTCATTTATTCATCCGAAGGGATTTTACATGAGGTTTCATCTCCTCTCCACAGTAAAACTGTGTTTGTGCATTTCAGATGTTGGTGAGCCTGCGACTATATACAGCTCAGGTGCTTTTCAGTGCGATAAAAATAGAAGCATGTCACTTCCATCCCTGTGCCTCTTGTGTCGTTTGGGGCTCTTACATTGTTTTTCCTCCTCTTTACCTCTGTCTTCCCTCTCTCCTCCTCCTCATCCCCTTTCTGTCGCTCTGCTTTTTATAGCCATGTCTTCCCAGGGCTCGGCAGCTACAAAAGCCTTTTCATGTTGCCACTATAATTACAGCCTCCACGCTGCACAGACACTAGCAGAGAACGCACGGCACAGCGCTGCGTCTTTGTGTCTGCATGTGCGTGTGTGCGTGATCCGCATGTGCTGTTATACACAAAAGGGTGAGCTATTTTTACCTCCCGCTCTGGTTCTCCATCCCCCCACCCCCCAACCCTCTCCACCGCCGCTGCCAGCCACATTTGCTATGCTGAGCACAGGCAGTATCAGTCGAGCCCCAACATCCCTGGCTCTCAGTCACATGAAGCAGCCGTATCTGCTGCCTGTGTCCGCGCTGCCGCTCATGGCTCAGAGGTGGGCTGTCGCTGACCCCCAGCCGGCCAGTTAGACCCCTCTGCTGTCGCTCGAAGCTCGTCTCAATGTTGCGGACAATATTTGAAGCGGAGTGTTCTCTGTCTCCCACAGGAGAGGGGATCCTGGGAAAGGAGCAGCTGGACGTTCTGAAGACATCAGCCCTGAACCACATCCCAACAGGTTGGACTGTTTGTGTTTGTGCATGGACTCCCCACTATCGCCTCATTGTGTATGCTCTGCGTGTTGTCAAAATCTCATTCAAAAATATCATCCTGCTCTCTGGTCTATGTGGAGCTATCCATTGTGCCATTTTACAAGGGATTTACAATTTTGGCATGCTCCCGGAGAGATTATGTGTGATGACTGCCGGGAACACTGACCAAAACCATGATTTACCTTTGGTCACAAGTTTCACAGACTCTTGGTCCTGAAGCAACACACCAATTTTGTAAATCAATGGGACTCAGAGGGCAGACTCCAGGGGAACTTTATATTTTACACTCTTGTGCTTATTTTGAGCATTGAGAGAATGACAACAGTAGAGAAGACGAGGCATGGCGTGGAGGCAGTGTGAAGAGCTGACAGTTTGGATTGAGAGGGGAGCAGATGGTCGGAGGAAATCTGAAGGAGAGGTAGTATAATGTATTCTGAAATGCTTTAATGCTCAGTGAAATTTGAATAGTGCAGTGAAATATGATTTTGGACAATTCTGATAAAATGTGATGACATAAGACTTGAGAGTAAAGTTACACAATATGTTGATCCCGTTGCACTGACTGGACCAACAAACAGACCAATCTTTGTTTTGACCCGAAACGCCTGGGTCCACTGGCTTTGCAGCCTCTCCCGTTGTTGTCGGGCTATTTTCTTCCTCCGGCTGGGGTGATAAAATATTGACTTCATCAGATATTCTTCAAATCTGTTGTCTTGGATACTGAGCTGTGGCTTTCACGTTTTGTTAGCGCGTGTGACCCAGACCGTTTGCTAGCTCCAGGAGTCCTGTCTAAGAGCCGCACTCCCCTACAGTTCGGAATAGGTTTTTCTTGGAAAATGAGAAGTCGCACTGTTTAATAATCAAATGCTTTGTCCTCTAAGTGTAAAGTAATCAGATCATGTTGCGTGTGTTTGAGTCCCTTTGAAATGCACATTTAAACCTCTCCAATAGGACCCTCACCTGTGGCTTTAAACCATCTGCTGTTATATATTTATGGTTATATATATTATATATTATATATGACCATCTGTTATAAACACCAGCTTGAGAAAACAGCTCCTGTTTGATTCCATCTACAATAGGGGTGGGAACCTAAGGGTACCTCACGATACGATACAATACACGATAACGATAATATCACAATAACGATAACGATTTTATCACGATATGACGATTATTGATATATTGGTCAGAAATATACAATATGCCAATTTATGGCATAAATAAAAGAAAAAATACTCTTTATTTCATGATAAATATAATGGAGATGCGTAACGTAGCCATATATTAAGTATTGATACCAATTCAAAAAAAAAAACACTTTTTTTTTTTTTTTTTTTTTTAAATCGATATTGATACTTCGCAAATGCATATCGATAATCGAATCGCGGGAGAAAGTATCGCGATATATCGCATGTTTGATCCTTGGCTAGTCCTGAATGGACTTTGGTATGAGAAATATTTGAGCTTTCTGCAGACCGGAGTCAGGCTACTGTCATTACCTGCTGCCACAAAACTCAGAATTGGACTTTCCATTTGTGTTTGATATTTTTATGCAATACTATTGAAGATAAAGCAAAGCAGGTATGATGTCCTAGTTAGAATTGTCCAGATGAAAACTTGTGCACAGACTTCAAATTTTGGATTGATTTTGAGGATGTGTGGAGGCCAGAGCAGGGACAGGTCGCGCTCAGTCCTGCGTTCGTTCTGTTCACTGCTTCTCTTTTGAAATTCTGTAATAAACTAAAATAAACATTGAAACTGCAGGTACACTCAGTCGTGAGATCTCGCTCCGACATGCTGCGGCTCGCTTCTCCATGCATCATTTCAGTTCCTAATTGCAAACATATAAAGCTATCATTATAGTGATTAGTGGACAATATTGATTTATAATCCTGAGCAACCGTGGAATAACTATTATAAGTTTTATTTTTTGTCAAGGCCCCCTCCTCCCTCCATTCATTCTAACTCAAAGACTTGATGGTCTGGCAACAGGGACATAATATTTCTCTTTCTCGTTAACAAAAATAACATTTAAGCCGGTGAGAGTTTAGTAAATCACTTTTATGGATAATCACTGGTTCTGGTTTGATTTTACCAAAACTGGATTGATTTTTTATTTTTTATTTTAAATGTGGTTGTTTTCCTGAGAAAATAGACATGCCTCAATGATGCAAGTTAACAATAATAATTTAAAACCATTTTTGGGACCACTCATAATTGTCTTGCGGGCCGAATTTGGCCCACGAGCCTGAGGTTGACATGCCTGTGTTCCTTATATCTGTGAAAACCTATGGTGCGTCCAGCGTCAGACAGAGCGCACTTTCTGGTATAAATAGACGCGCAATCAAGAGCCAGAGAGTTGCCGAGTCCGCCCCGGGCCTCGTAAACAGATTGTGATTTGTCGTGGCGGGAAATGAAGGGAAAAAAAGTGGGAACGAGGAAAGTGAAAGTGGGAGAAAAAGCCGCGGTTTAAAGAGCCGAGGGAAAGGTCAGCGAGGAGGAGAGAGCGTGGACGGGGACAGTGGCCGCAAACCACTGCAGGAGAATCCCAGTCTGATTATTTTGTAAAGCTGTGACCAACTGAAGTTACAGAAAGTACAAGGAAGGGCCTGGTCTGTCTTTGTTCCTGGTTCTGTTTGGACTTTGAATTGTTTGTTTTTTACCTTGGATATATAATTGATCATCTTTTTGTAATCATTATTTTGCATTCCTGAATTTTGAGAGCCTCCTCCTTTCCACCTCGTGATAAAATGCGTCAGAATGATGAAGAGAATTGAGTCTGATAAAAGGCTGGGCGTCTTTCGGAGCTCGTCGATATGATACGGGCCTCGATATACATACGATACCGAGATACCGAGATACAGGGGACTTTAATGATTAAATTCTATTCAATTTATTGAAGATTAATTGTTAAGGTCAAACTGTAGGAGGGGAAAAGAAAATGTATGTGATGTATGATGTAAAAAAAAATATATATATATTGTATCTAATTTAGAAATGTCAATGATTATCTTATAACTGATGGTGACCGTTAGGAAAATAAGCAGCCTTATATATATAATCATAAAATGTACAATAAGAAACCAGATGCGCTCCTGGTGAAGGCAGAGACGCATTCAATTCATGTTCATTGTTATATTTATGTAACAAGCTCGGGATATTGAAATAATAAAAACATTTGAATACATTTTATTAATTCAGGTTTCATAATAGCTTTGGGGCAGCAGGTTTAAAACCGTTGAA